CTTTCATCTTCATCATCATTGTTATCATCATCAGAATTATCTTTTTCTATTTCTTCCTCCTCTGAATCAGTCAGAGCAATCTCTAAATTTAAATTTTTTTTTAAATATTTCTACAACAAAGTTGCCTTTTTAATATAAGAGCATCTTAAAAATTGTATAAACTCTAAATTAAAAATGTATAGTCTAATATTATTTATCATTGTATTAAAAAGCTATACACTGTATATGAATGTATAAATTTTTGTTGTTGATTTCTATTCTCAAAAACTGAATTTTTATTTTAAACTGAAATTTGTATATTAAAAACAATTTTAATTTTATACAAAATATATGTTTAAAATAAAATAATAAAATATAATAAAATAAAAATAAAATATAATAGGGTCATTTGGGGAAAATGTAAACAAGGGGTAAATGTAAACAGCAGATATTGCAGCTTAATTTACAGATTTAAAATTAAGTTCGACCCCAATATTTTAACCTCAGCTCACCTGCAACAGGTTCTGAGTATTGCTAATTGTTTTTTCGACAATTGTCAAAGCCATACTCCAATTTGTCGCTTAATGCATGAAAGATTGAAAATCAAAGTTTTACTGTTTCAGTATTTTGTCTCGCATTTGAATAAAAATGAACTAAAAATTCAAACTAAAATTTCTAATTATTCCTTATGAATCCCTTAACAAAAGCTGACTTTGATTTTTTAATTTCGTAAATTCAGTTAATATATAATTAAGTGTTTACATTTACCCCGAGAATTCGAAAACTCGGGGTAAATGTAAACAGAATTTCTGCTGCATTTTAAAAGAAAATAATTCAATAAATTTGCTTCTATTTCACAATTACATTATTTTGGCCCTGTAAAATTACATAAAAAACGAAATTGGATCTTCTTTTATATCTCCTTCGTGTTAGTCAGTTGCAGGTATAGACCTGCATAGTAGTGCATAGTGCATTTACGTGTTTAAAATATAGGAAAGCGATTCTTCACGATTGGTGAATAAAACTCAGGTACGTAGGAATCATAGAATAAGAGTGAGTCATTGATTGATAGATTGATTGATAGATTGATTGATAGATTGATTGATGGATTGATTGGTTGATTGATTGGACGATTGATTTATGGATTGGTTGATTGAGTAATTGGTGGATTGATTGGTGGATTGGATTGATTGGTTTATTGGATAATTGATTTATAGATTGGTTGATTGGTGGATTGCTTGATTCATTGACTGATTGATTGATTGGTGGATTGATTGGATGATTGGTTGATTGAGTGATTGATTGGTGGATAGATTGGTTGCTTGGATGATTGATTTATAGATTGGTTGATTGAGTGATTGATTGGTGGATTGATTGGTTGATTGATTGAGTGATTGATTGATTGGTGGATTGATTGGATGATTGATTTATGGATTGGTTGATTGATATTAATACTAATTCTAATATACGTTTTTCTATATCTTGGAATTTAAATACTTTGATTACTTTCTCCTTAGACCTTTTAAAAAAATTATTATTGAAATTTTAGAAAGTTTATAAACTTATGTTTTATAAAGAGGAAAAATTTCGCACTATATTAATTGTGTTGATATTCATATTTTCTAAATGTCAGTGGGCAGAGAAATTTAGTCCAATTTGATCAATTTTTAAAAACCTCTTTCGCGATATTGAATCTGCTATTTTGAAAATTTTAAATCTGACTTCAGATTCGTATTCAGCGACCTCGAAAACCTCCGAGTAGCGAGATTTAAGCAAATTTGATCAATTTTTAAAAATATTTTTAGGTTCATCCGCCATATTGGATCCGCCATTTTTAAAATTTTAAATTTGTCTTCAAATTCGTATTCAGTGACCTCAAAAACCCCCGAGTAGCGAGATTCAAGCAAATTTGATCAATTTTTAACAATATTTTTATGTTTGTCCGCCATTTTGAAATTTAAAAATTCGATTTTAGAATCTTATTCAGCAACCTTAAAAACTTATTTTCACCAAGTTGAATGAAAATCTATTAAAATTTATTGAAGTTATTCAAGTTTTTACATTACTAGTTTTGTTATGGTAATGATTGCTTATTTTATATGTTGCATATCAATCAATTGGTTCAATTATTTTACATCTACCAAGAATTTTTTTTTCAGTTTTTACATCCGTTTACACAGTAGAATACTTGGGATAACTTTTTTCTTAAACCTCTTTAAAATACAGGGGTGTTTACATTTACCCCGAATTTTGGGAAAATTTCAAAATCTCGGGGTAAATGTAAACAGTCAGTTTTAAGCGATTCAAGTTGATCAATATTTTTTTGTACCTCATAAAATATTTCTAGGGAAGTGAAGTAACAAGTTCATGCAGTAGAAAACCGGAAGTATTGCTTTTTAAAATAAAAAACTTACGTTATTGTTGAAACTAAGCAAATCCGTTTACATTTACCCCAAATGACCCTAATAAAATATATATAGGGGAGGATGGGGCAAGGATAGTTAGGTAAGATATTTTTGGATCTAGCGGTGAAATTTAAACTGGCATCGGAAAAAGAATAGTATCGTTCGAAAGCCTGTTTATTTAGCTACAATTTTGCTATACATTGTTTTCTTGTAGATTGCAATGCCTTCGAGATAATATTGGAAAAGTAAAAAAAAAATTTTAACTATCCTTGCCCCACTAGTGGGGCAAAGATAGTTGAAAATTTGTTTTTACTAAGAATGATAAAAAAATCATAAAATTTGATTTTCCATTGTTTCTAGGTATCGAATTATATTTGTCAAGACTTAACAATAAAAATTATTGTTCTAATTAAATCGAATCATGTTTAATACAACTTAACAGTTAAGGATGATAATTTTTATCAAAAAAACATGTTTTTTGTGAATTTTTTGAAAAACAAAAAAATTATTAAATCCTGATCCATAAAAAGCAATTAGCATTTCGTTTGCAATTAAAAAATTGTGTTAGCCAGATATTACCTAGTCATAAGTATTACAACAAGGCACTAACTAGTTTTGCCCCGTGAGCGCTTTTTTCGAATTATCACAAATTTTTAGTACAAAAAAATTTTTTTTTTAAAAACGAATATGATATTCGTTTTCAGCACAAAATTTTACACAAGAAAACATTTACGCAACCAAATATATTTAATAAATTATATCCGCAAAAATAAGATTGAATAATAAAAATAAGGTGAAAATATTTTAGCAAAACTGAGAATTAACACAAATGGGCACGTAGCTTCTACAAATAGTGTCCCCGCAAGCTCAAATTTTTACTGTCGTCTTTTGGTGTTAAGACGAGTGTACATGATAAATGACCCGTTTTTTTGACGAGCCGTTTCGGTATTAGAGCCACTAACTATCCTTGCCCCTTAACTATCCTTGCCCCACCCTCCCCTATTTATATACAAAATAAAATTTATATACAAAAATAATGTTGCAACATGTTAACTTTTAATAACTAAACATTTTTCATTCATGATCTTTAATCTTAATTCATTTTGTAAATATTTAATTTTTATCAACTGTTTCCATTCTCTCAAAATAACATTATTAATTCAGCAATTTGTGCTCACCATGTTTTATACTAATTTCTGGTAAATCACTCTCTTCAAACGAATAAATCACATCCTTGCTGTCCATTTGATCTTCCTCATATTTATTTTTATCAATCTTATTCTTTTCCTTTACTTGTAGCTACATTCCATTAAAACGTAAATTAACCTTACAATATGTGGATATCTGTATAAAATGAGCCCAATTTCACAATATTTTACTAATCTACATGGACGAATTCATTACTAAATTTTTAAAAAAATTTATAGACGTCTTACATTCTTTTAGGTGCAAATACTACAGAGATACAGGATTTTAAAGTTCTGAATTTAGAAAACTTGATTTTGAGAAAATTATTTTAAAATTAAAATCAATGGACTGCAAATTAAGTAAATATTTGTTACGAATTGGGCCCTTTTCTCAAATATGTGATTTTAAAAATATTTTCTCAGGCAATTAAAAATAACTTTTGTAATTAAAAAGGTTTCTTTGATTTATTTTCCGTTTAATAAAAAATATTTATTGCACTTGAAGAAAAATTTTTTTAAACAATTAAAAGCAAAAATACTATTCTTAGGAGAACTTCCCGCAATTTCTCTGGAATTTATTATTTATTTCTGACTAATTTCCGTTAATTTCTCGGAAATTTAAACAAAATTTCTGGGAGCGAACTTCTGATGAATTCTCGGGGTTTTGCCTACATTAAACGAAATATTTTCTTATAATTTATTAAAAATCATAATTGATCAAGCTATTTAAAAACAAATACTTTGTTTTTGAGCATATAATAATGCAAAAATTTCTTTTCTTTGCAGAAAAATCTTTTAAAATAATACTTACTATTTTTATTTGACATAAACAAAGAATAAGTTAGCGAAGAAAAAAGAAAATAATTGTGAAACCTTTTCCTTTTTCTCAACAAATAAATCCTTTTTGGAGATGTTTCCAAAGCCTGCTTCAGGAATATTGGCGCCAAATTTTAATTTTGAAATAAAATTGTCGACTAATATTTGTTCCAATTCGGATAACTTTTTCGTCTTTCGTCCGCCTCTTTCCTCCTGATCTTTTATATCATCGACTTTTTGGATTGTATATAATTTCCAATCATTCCACGACTATTTTTGAAATTAATTTCATCATTTTATATAATATATAATAAATACAAAGATTATTATAGTTAATTTTGACAATAAATTAACAAAAATGAAAAAATTTTTAAATAATAACAGTAAAATAATAATACATTAAGGGCCGGTTTCACTAACTCTGATTAAGCATTTAATTCCCGATTAGTTTAATTTAATCAGACTTATGCGTCCCACCATCTTTTAATCGTGGTTAAAATGTCTTAACGAGTGATTAACTTAACCGCCCGATTTTGGCCGGTTACGCAGACTAATCGCCGATTACGGTGTCAACATAACCTATAGCAGATTATTTACACGTGACATGGAAGGCATGGAAGATCTATACGAAAATTTCTTATCGTCCTCTGATGATGAAGATTTATTACCAATTATAAATCGAAGGCCAAGGATTATTAAAGACAGAATAAATTATATGGAGACATTTGACGATGTGGATTTTGTTCGAAGATTTCGATTGTCAAAGAACACTGTAAACGAGTTGCTCATTGAAATACAAGACCAGTTGCAAAGTGCAACTCAAAGGTATGTATGTAATTTATTATTTATTTAAATAATGTATTACATATCGTAAACAAAAGAAATATAAAATATAAGTTACAAACTTGATCATTCAGAAATCTTCAATTGAAATGACGTGAATTTCTATGTATATTATGTATTATGGTCAATGATCAACATTTTTTTTAATTTTGACAACATTTTTATATGTGTAAACTATTTGCATTGACTAATATTACTATATCTTGTCAAGATTATCTATTAATTTATTAATTTTTATAAAGTATTTAAACAATATTGAGAGAAAGTCAAATTAATGCAAATACCAAAATATGTGCGTTTTAAAAATATGCAACTAAAAATACATATATTATTATTATTATTTTGTATTATATTATTTATGAAACAGAATATTCTTTTAAACGAATTTTTATTAGGTAGAATTTAAATACAAAGAATTTACTTTTAGTGGAAGTTTCATTTTCTACAATTATTAATTGACAGAACTTTAATTTAATCAATTTTTCATATTACAGAACTTACTTATTGTTAGCCGAAATTTTATTTAATAGAATGTCTATTTGATCGAATTTAAATTTGTAAAAATTTTCATCTTTTCGAATTTCCATTAAACAGAATATTTAATTAAAATTAATTGAAAATCAGGATATTTAAAATTAATAATCCTTTTTGAGTTATCATGTAAGAGGAATTGTAAAATTTATGAAGCTTTTGAAACTTTTTCTTCTTGCATAAAATATTTATTTTATGCCTTCTGTTTTAGGAATCATGCTATTTCGCCAATAATCCAAGTTCTGCTTACTTTACGGTATTATGCAACTGGTTCACATTTTATTGCTGCAGGAGACTTCTCGGGTGTCAGCAAATCTAGTGCCCATAGAATAGTTCATAGAGTCACAGCAGCTATTGCTAGATTAGCTCCAGATGTGATAAAACTTCCTGCTTCACCACAAGAAATATCAGCAACTCAAATAGATTTTTATGCTATAGCTCGATTTCCTAGAGTTATTGCAGCATTCAATTGTACACATATTAAAGTACAATCTTTTGGAGGTAATGAAGCAGAAATTTTCAGAAACAGAAAAGGTTATTTTTCCATAAATGTGCAAGCTACTTGTGACGCAAATTTAAAATTTTCAAATATTGTTGCTCGTTGGCCTGGAAGTGCTCATGATGCAACAATACTCAACAATTCAAGATTACGTGGCTGTGCAGAAGCTGGAGAGTTTGGTGATGGAATTATCTTGGCAGATGGTGGTTATAATATGAGATCATACCTCTTAACTCCACTTTCAAATCCTGCAACTCCAGCTCAAAATTTATACAATGAATCACAAATCAGAACAAGAAATACAATTGAGCGAGCATTTGGAGTATGGAAACGTAGATTTCCATGTTTAGCTATAGGCATGCGTTTCACAAAAGATCATGTACTTCCAGTAATAGTAGCTACTGCAGTTTTGCATAATTTGGCACGAATAACTGGGGAAGAACAGTCCCCTGATGATCCGGATTTAAACATAAACTGGGATGAAATTTTAAATGCAGATCTTCACAATAGAGTAAACTTGGGAGCAGGCGAAGACCTCACGCTTCGACTTCTTTTACAGTATTTTGAAAGGTAAATTTCACTTTTATTTGTTCGCATTTTATGAATGTAATATAAAAATTAATCATTTTTTTTAGTCTTGTAGGTTGACAATAAATTGAGCGGAATACTACTGGCTGGAATGGAGATATTTTTTAATTAACTATTTAAAAGAAACATATATTCATGGATATTAAAAATTGTCAAATTTTTTTCTAGAATTTTTATTTCACAAAATTGTATTACATTCAATATAAATTTGAATAAAGTATGAAAAACGTTTATACAATAACAATAAACAAGTGTTTAAAGTTCTCTAGCGGTGCACTGCGTTAATCACAATGTCTTGTTTAAGCAACATACATTAATATCATTAATTTAACAATATTAAACTTTGATTTTATTGCTACTTCACATTAAACTACTAACTGTGAAGGTACATTTGACTTACAATACATATACATAAAAATAAAACCAACAAACAATCAGTTATTCATACATAATAGGTTATTTAACCAAATGTTGAAAGTTCTCTAAAAAGTGCTTTGGTAATCTTCACGTTTCGCTTAACCAAAAAGACATATTATTAATTAAACAATATTTTACTTTGGCCTTACAATAAAACACTAGTTGTAGAGATATTTAAACGAATTCGTAATTCATTTAGGAATAACATTTTGGCACAAATTATAGTTTACAATTATTGCATCTCATCTAATGTCAGTCTTTAAGATTTTCGGAAAATATATGCCATACGGCAAAAATTAATGACTTGCTTTAAACATACTAATGAAGAGTAAACTATGAAATAATTTTTTTCTTAAAAAAAAATTTATTTTTTTGCGAAGGAGCTGTATTTCCAAATCTTTTTTAACTAACTTCTTCTTTAAAAGGTCTTGCTCCATTTCCATTTTTTTAACAGTCTGCTCTTTAACCATTATAATATAATTTAATTTGGCTTCCATTAAACTATCAAAATTTTTGGATCGTTCATGTATAGAACGCGTTTTGACGTACGGCTTATTGGCAATACGTTGTAGAATATTTTCATGCAACTTAGTTTCCTCGTTACCTTCTTTTCTAATTGGTGAAATATGGCTGCGTTCATCTTGCTTTACGCTTTCTTCCTGTAATATTTCAGGCAATATTCCCGGTTTTGGTATTGGCGATCCATTTATTTGCAACGCAGCAGCTTTCCTCGTTCTTAGCATAGTTGGAGACCATTGCGTCCATTCTACGTTTTAGCATCGACAATCCGGGTTTCGCTTTCTGGAATTCAGTTTGTGGCGTTGACGTTGCATCTTTCTTTGTCAGCACATTTAGAGACCGTAGTGGCAAGTTAATAGTGTCATCGCTCATGATTATCTGAAATTAAGAAAAAAAAGATGAATTATATTTTGGATAAAAATTGCTACTGTTTTGTAAATTTTAAGAAAAAGCACAAAATAATCTGTACCTCACATGTTTCCATATTAACATTAATTGCACTGACATCAAGCGTATCTTCAAATGCGGGTAATTCATCGTTTTCGTGAAATTCCACAGTTTAAAATTCTTGAGAGTTGTTAATACCGTCACTATAAATTCCAGTTCTTTCACCAGGAGAAGCATCGCTATCAAACGCGTTATCCATTGGTTTCCCTGTTTTGCCAATAATTCCCTGTATTTGTATACACAGCTGATCTTCTTTAATTTCATTTCGACCTCCACCAGTCTTAAAAGTTTCTTGCCGTAGATTACTTAAGTGCTTCCTTGTCGAACGTTTGAGATTCTCCCACAATACTTTTAAGTGATTTGCAGTACGATGACTTGGTGATTTTCCCATAGAATTAAATTCCTTGCAAATTACCTCCCACATTTTATTCTTTTACTTTTGCATAACTGCATCCGTTTTCTTCTTTTCGATGATATGCCTGTATTTATTAACTACATTAGTGAGGGTAATTTTTTCCTCACTTGTGTAATTCGGACCTCTTTTTCTTCTTTGTTTTACCTAAAAATGAATATTTATTAATATATTTCTTAAAAAGATGCAAGTTATTTTTAAAATTAAACAGACGGAATTTTGGCTTTTTCCCTGACCTCCATTAAACATCTTGAAGGGATGTTCAGTTGTAAAAAAAAGATAATTTTTATGTAAAAAGTAGAATTACATTTTTACAGTGCTCAGCTGATTTTAAAAAAAATGTATGGCTTTTTCTACGATTTTTAATTATGTTATATTTGTAAATTCAAAAAAGAAATTTCTGTTAATTTTACTTAAAAAAAAATATTAATATTTTCATTAAAATAATATTATTGATTAAATTTTATGTAGGAAATAAATAAAATACACTAATAATTATATGAAATTTCTCAAATTCAAAAACAAAACAATTCCAAGGGCACAGTGAGTCAGACATAAATAATCAAAGAGCTTCTGTGCTTGTAAATCTTAAAATACATCAACATTTTTAATATTTATATTTAATACTCTTTAATATTTTTTAAAAATTTCTTCAAAATCTTTTGAAACATTATTAAAATTTGTTTCTTGCATTGCATCCCTTTGTTTACCTTTTTTGAGGTTACGTTTATGTTATTTTACATATTTTACTTAGCTTTTAATAACTTCATTACACAGCCACACAAAAAAAAGTACCCGGGCCGGGAAATGAGACCATCATTTCTTGATGTATTTTGATGCGCTGAACACGAATCTGAAGTCCGTTTAGCTCCATCACGTCAGGATTTTGACATAACCTCAAAAAACATAGCTGATTTTATATGACAGGAGAAATTTTTTAAATAATGGCAGATTTGCTTGAATCTTGTTACTCGGGGGTTTTTGGGGTCGCTGATTATGAATTTAACGTCAGATTTAATAAATTCAAAATGGCGGATCCAATATGGCGGACGAATTTTTAAAAAGTAGTTGGATTTTTACGAAAATTGGTATCTAGGGGTTTTGGGAGTCGCTGATTACAAATTTATCGTCAGATTATTCAAATTCAAAATGGCGGATCCAATATGGCGGACAAATTTTTAAAAAGTAGTTGGATTTTTACAAAAATTGGTATCATGGGGTTTTTTGGAGTCGCTGATTACGAATTTAACGTCAGATTATTCAAATGTAAAATGGCAGATATAGTACGGTGGTCAAATATCTTTATGTTTCTACATGTGTCTGCATCCAGGGTACCTCCACGCGGTGACGGTGGACAACGGAGTTTGTCCGCTATCCGGCTAAGTCCCTGGATAATGGCTTTGATGCCGTCATGGCAGACACACGTAGGAAACGTATTACGATGCAGGGACTCGGAACCCCAGTATCGGCCAAGTTACATAAAAATTCAACTATTTTTTAAAAACTCGTCCGCCATATTGGATCCGCCTTTTTGAATTTGAATAATCTGACGATAAATTTGTAATCAGCGACTCCCAAAACCCCTAGATACCAATTTTCGTAAAAATCCAACTACTTTTTAAAAATTCGTCCGCCATATTGAATCCGCCATTTTGAATTTTATAAATCTGACGTTAAATTCGTAATCAGCGACCCCAAAAACCCCCGAGTAACAAGATTCAAACAAATCTGCCATTATTTAAAAAATTTCTCCTGTCATTTAAAATCAGCTATGTTTTTTGAGGTTATGTCAAAATCCTGACGTGATGGAGCTAAACGGACTTCAGATTCGTGTTCAGCGCATCAAAATACATCAAGAAATGGTGGTCTCATTCCCCGGCCCGGGTACTTTTTTTTTTGTGTGGCTGTGTTATTTATCTAATATTATAAAATAAAATATTTTAATTTAGATACTATACTTACATTTTCAAATTGCTCTTCCATTTTTTATAACAAATCCACCATTATTCGAAACAACCAATTAGAAAGTGCGGTTAAAGAGAAAACAGAAACAGTTTACGATTAACTAATCACACGTTAAAATCTATGGTGGGACGCTTTGAAACTTAATCATGATTAAAACCTTGATTAAAAAATAATCATGATTACTTAACCAGCATTTTATGTCGAGTTGGTGAAACCGGCCCTAAAAAAAATTAAAATAGTATAAAATTTTTGTGGTTAAGAAGTACAAAATAATTTTAACTTTAAATTTAAATGCTTATCAATTTTGGCAACTTTAGGAATTCCAAATTTAAAAAACCTTATTTGAAATTATACAAAAAATTTTGGGGTTAAAAAGTATAAAATAATTTTAAAGTTCAACTTAAATGCTTATCTCATTTCCCAACCATGGAAATTCAAAACATTGAGTTTAGCTTATTTGAAATTTAATAAAAAAAATTTATAAGCATTATATTATTTTTATTTAATTTTATTTTGTTATAGTAAAAAGTAAAATATAAGATCAATTTAACAAAAAAATTGTCATTGAAATTTAATGGATTAATAATTAAAATAATTTACTTTTTTCCATAAAGCACTAGATTTGTGGACATCGTTCTCTGCTGCATTCAAAATTTCAGAACGCTCATTCCATAAGTCATCCTTTAATTCAGAATAAAAAATATATATTTCATCATATTTCATAAATTTTTGATTTTTTGTTTATTTCATTCTAAGTTTTAAAAATAAATTAAACAATTTTCAATTAAAAAGAGCACTAGTAATGCAAAATGAGTTTCAATTTTAAAAAATTTTTAGTTGATTTTGAATAAGAAAATCTCGTCACCATTTTTCCCTTGTAATTACTTCCGTGTTTCACTTTCCCATTCGACAAATCTTTATGTTCAATCATGAAATTTAACATAATTTTTCTTTGATTTGTAGAACATTTTGCGAGTGGCATTTTGACAATTTAAAAATAAATTCACCAACTGACACTTCGAACTAAATAAATTTCATGAAAAAACTGAAAAAATTCGAACAAAAGAATCAAATCATAAGTTGATAAATTCACTTTAATCGATAACCGAATGTTTTTAAAAATTATTCTAACTCTTTTAATAAATGAACTATAAAAATAAACCATAAAAGTATATAAAAATATATGTTGTGAATTAACAAGAAAATTCTTGAAAATATTCTATTGGTTAGAAAAGATATCTTTACTTGAAAAAAGAATTGTATAAAGTTTATTCAGTTAATTGAATAAAATAACTACACT